CTGTGGCCAGGCCCCAGCAGGACACTCTGATTAGGCAGGGGTCCCCTCCCCACCTCGCTGACCAGCAACAGAGCCAGCAGGGAGTTATCACCCCATAAAGGAAACAAAAGCCTCTCTCATTAGTTCAAGCTCTTCTTTTAGTTCCAAAAAGCCCTGTCTGTCTTACACAGACACCTCTCAGCATTAGCTAGTAGACCACATTCTGGCTATGGTCCATTCTATGGGAGAGGGAATCCCTGCTTGAGCTGGGGGGGGAGGGCGGGGGCAGGAGGAAGCCAGGAAGAGGGGTGGAGCCAGCCTTGCTTTGGAACAGGAAGCCCCACTCAGGGCTGCAAAGCATCTGAGATGGTGGGGAACTCTAGTTTAAGTTAAACCAGGAAGGGGTCTGGGATAGACATTGCATAAACTGGTTTCACCCAAATCAGTTAAGTCTGATACTACATTCAACCAGGCTTATTTCAAACTGTTTTCAGCCATTTTTAAACTGGTTTATGTGCACTGTTCTGTTCCGTTACAGGTTTAAACCAGTTTGTGTCTAATGTCTGTCCTTAGCCATTATAATTAGGTCAAAGGAAAAATGCCTTTCATTCAAAAGCTTGTATAACTCTATCTCAACTACATAGCTGGTCCAATAAAAGATACCACCCTAAGAAATCCTCTCCTCTAACACATTTAAATTATTCATGAATTCAGCAGCAATGGCAAACCCTCAATTCCAGGACATTCTCTACCACAGCTTATTGATCTACCATGGTCCTGAAGTGACTTAAAAGTCTAATCCTTGAGCCACAGATCTGCCCACTAAGGTTGCAGGTCTATCTGCAGGGGACAGTCCCAGGATAGACTGGAATATATCTCCTCTTTCTTCCTCCTCTCTCTCTTCTCTGCTTTGAGGGCAAGACTCTTTACTTCAAAGCAGGCTGCTCCTTGGTTGCCATTGTGGCACCATTGGAGTTGGTAAGCAGCCAACTCCTCAGTTCCTGATGTTGACATCCGTTTTCTTGAGGTATGCCTTCAATGTGTCCTGTAGCATTTTTTCTGGCCACCAAAAGGTCTCAAGCCATAGCTAAGGCCTGGGACCAGGAAGCTAGACAACAAGGACTGCCAACAGGGACTGCCAACAGGGGAGCAGTTTGCAGGCCTGTAATGGGCAGGAGTACACAGGAGATTCTGACAGAGACTTCAGGTAAGTGAATGAGGAGGGGGGCTACTATGGTGACACAGAAAGCAGCCAGGGCCCCTGCCCTGCTGCTGCCTCCGGCCCAGAGGTCCTGTGAGGCCTCCACCCAGAAAGGCCCCTTGGATGCGTTGGCAGAGCCCTGGCCCCCTGTCTGCGGGGTTTGCCTGGTGGGACCTCTGAGGCCTGGGGTAGCATAGGGGCTGGGGGTTCCCTTGTCTGTCCCATATATGCCTGGGTTGAGGCCCCGGAGGGGCAGGTGAGGGAACTCCAGGCAGAGGTGAGCAGGCTGCAGGGGATCAGAGCAGTTGAAGAACAGTTGATGGCTTCTTTCATTCTCTGCAGGACAAGACTCCTGGTGGACAAGCTGTGAGGTAATGCCCTGAAGTAGATGCTGGTGAGTGGAGGATGGTCATCTCAGGGGCCAAAACTCTCACCACAGAGACCGTTCCCCGGTCCAGCTGGGGAACAAATATGAGGCACTGGCTGCACTGGAGGAGTGTGCAGTGGGGGGAAATGCACTGGAGGAGCCTCTTGCCATCACCGAGCAAGCTGAGGGCTGGCCAGGTAAGCAGAAGAAGAGATGCCACATCATCCTTGTGGGTGGATCCTTGCTGAGAGGAACAGATCTGTCGTCCAAATCCCACGGCACGTGAGGTCTGCTGCCTGCCCAGAGCCAGGATTAGGGATGTCATGGTGAGAATTTCTGACCTCATCTGGCCCTCCAACAGCTATCCCATGGTCCTCATCCATGTCGGAACAAATGATGTGGCCAAGAGTAGTCCAGACTGTATCATGAGTATAGACATGTATAAAGGTATAAAGTATAGACAGGTGCAAAGGGGAAACCAGTCTACCAACTGTTAGCACCAACTTAGTGAAGACCTCCTACCTCAGGCTTTAAACTAAGTACAATGGGGGACAGGAAATGGAGAGAGTCTAGAACCTAGAAACTGCAAGATATGCAGCAGTA